AGTGACATATACTCGTACCCAGTTTCAGAGTAAAGGGAGATAAGTGGTATGGAGTGGGGATTAATTGCCATCTGCAAGGCTCCATTGAGCATTGGATCTATCTGGTGAAGAAGACTGGGGACATCCACCAGGAGGGGCACCTTGAATTCTGCCATTGGGCTCAGCATGGTGTAAATCAGGTACAGAAGATCCTTGGTCATTGTCCCATTTAATGATGACGCAATGAAGAATCCCATCCATGCCAATTTGGTGGTCCTCAGGAACATTCTGTGTGTTGTTCAAGTAAAGGACTAATGGAGGTGGACCCATGATCCAGAAGCTGGTTAAAGGATGCCTCTTGATTGTAAGGACAGTGCAGAGGGGGTGGCTCTGTCAGGGAGAAAATGTAATTTATGCATACAGGGATAATCATGGCAGTTTCCAGATAAGAGGCTTTTCCATGTCCCAAATCTGATTGAAGAGGTGCAGTAGTAGAGTGTGGCCCTCTGGGGAAGTGTTTGACAAGTGAGGCACTTATCCTTTTCTGGCCTGGGGAGTTCGAGTGAATAGTATGAATCACAGAGTAGAGGTCGGTGGTGTGGAAGGAGGCAATCATCTTTTCACTGATGGTGGTCAACTTGCCTTGGTTGGGGACATAGGTCCTACTCTGCCTCTGGCAATCTCAGCCTGACAGACTGGATCAGTGATAGAAAGAAGTCCCATTGTATATGATGACCACATAGGTATCTTCAAGCTGGGAGTGGTGTCCAAAGGCAATAAAGGATTGAAGAAGAAAGGCATGTGCAGAACTTCTTCCAATATTGCTTGCATTCACTGCAAACAGTCCTGAGAAGAAGAGTGCTCAGTGTTTTATAATTTATCCATCAATTGGTGGAAGCCAGCCAAATTGCCTTCTTGAAGGTTTGTTTGGCCTGAAGGAGGCATTTGTTCATAATTTTATTAACGTAAGCAAAAAATAATTACATGACCTGTCTCTGCAGAGCACAATCAGGCATTTGGAAACAAATTTCTGGATCACATATTTACATTCAGTTCCATAGCATTTTGTGTGGAGAGAGAAGGGAGGAAAAATAAACAAATCACAGCAGAACATGAGTAAGAACATGACAAAGAAAGAACATGTCTAAATCTAAAGTGTGTATATATACACACTTTAGATTTAGACATGTTGATTACATGCTGAAAAGAGTTGGAGCACTTGTCCTGTAATTGTACAATCTATAGAGGGTTAAGTAATGGGTGTTGCTGGAAGTAGTTTCTTATCAAGTGTAAGAGATCAAAGAGTTTCTGATCAATTGTCAAATCTCTATAGATACATGGCCATATCTCTCCTTTATGCAGAATTATTGTCCTAATTTGGTGTCTTTATGCTCCTGTAATACAGACTTCCATCTGCAACACTACAGATTGGGCACAGATTATTGTTACTGTGAGAGAACCTATGGAGGTAAGAATTAAATTTCCTGTGATTTGTTAGAACTGCATTGTTTGATGTTTGAACCTGATCTATCTGCAACTGAAGATTTCCTGATATTGGGGAAAAAGTGGTGTGTAACAGAGTCAAGGTTTTCATCCAAGTCTCTCTGCCAGCTCTGAACATCTTCCTTCCAGAGTAAATTCTTCAGCATTCTAATTGAGATTTGATTGTATTCTGTGGGGATATTATGGTCTCTGGCTGCCTCCTTAGCAAAAGATTCTGCTCTTGTTGCTGGGAATTGCTGAGTGAGAGTGGATCCAGTTAAGGAAGTATTTGTTGGTTGTGTTACCAGGGCTCTTTTGGATATTGGTAGTGATGGGGGTGAGTAGTTTTTCATTGTATCAGTATTAATGTGAAAGTATTATCAGAAGAAATAAGAATGTTTTTGTTAGTGAATGAGGTGTTACACCACTCCACTGCCTGATCTATCATGAGGAGCTCTGTGAGGACCCAGAAATAGTTTGAACCCAAAAAGGATGTAAAATTTAAAACTTTAGAACAAATAATGCAGAGAAAGATAGCTATTGCAAGGTGTCAGGTTTATTGATGTTAAGATGGTGATGCCAGTGACAGTTTTGCTGTTAGTAAGAGAAAGGATGGTGTCAAATAAACCATACCAGGCAGACCTTTCTTGCGGCCCGAACGGGTCTCAAATTCTGCCTGGAGACAGGTGAGAGTTATAAAGAGTTTAGTTTATTAAAATCAAAAAATTTTAGGCATGTTTGGATTGAAACATCCTTTTTGAAAATTTTTATGTAATATTCTAAACAGAATGTTATGAGAGTAACTTTTTAATAATTCTATTCTAATTCAAAAAGTTCTGTCTCCAATCAGTTTACATTATGACTTACAAAATGTAATGATTGTATGATTTAATAAACATTGTTACAGGGACATTTTTAAAATGTTTATCATCTTAGATGCTAATTAATTTTTTTCTGTCATTTTTATATTTTTTATCAGCATCATATACTCTAATGTTTATATAGTTAAATAAAAATAAGAAAGTAATCTTTAATACTTATTCATACGTAAATGTTTTCTTCACAGTTTATTGAACAGTTGGAAAAGGAAACAAAAATTCTAGTGGCATATATACATTGGAAAGAAGGAGAGGAAACTTTTTGGAAATGGATGGTAAGGTTACATGTAATGTTTTTTGGAATATTTTATTGGGTTGTTGCAAATGAAATTGCCATTTTTCAAAATTTAAACTTCTCACCATTGCAATTCTTTGTTCAAGGTTAATGTTCATTATTCAACCATTCCTGATATATAAAAGCCTTGGAGAAAATCAAGTAGCTTACAAGTGGTTATCACATAAATTCATCAAGGCAGACAATGTATGTCATTTGGAGGTCTGCTATTCTCGATTATTTGTAACAAAAATAAATGTATACTGCCTTGTATTATAATTTTCAATGAGAAATGAATCTTCTATGACAATTATTATGTTCTAAGCAGTGGTTAGATATAAAAAAAAACACTGAAATTGAACTTACATCTGGTTATGTTGTGACATATACTCGTACCCAGTTTCAGAGTAAAGGGAGATAAGTGGTATGGAGTGGGGATTAATTGCCATCTGCAAGGCTCCATTGAGCATTGGATCTATCTGGTGAAGAAGACTGGGGACATCCACCAGGAGGGGCACCTTGAATTCTGCCATTGGGCTCAGCATGGTGTAAATCAGGTACAGAAGATCCTTGGTCATTGTCCCATTTAATGATGACGCAATGAAGAATCCCATCCATGCCAATTTGGTGGTCCTCAGGAACATTCTGTGTGTTGTTCAAGTAAAGGACTAATGGAGGTGGACCCATGATCCAGAAGCTGGTTAAAGGATGCCTCTTGATTGTAAGGACAGTGCAGAGGGGGTGGCTCTGTCAGGGAGAAAATGTAATTTATGCATACAGGGATAATCATGGCAGTTTCCAGATAAGAGGCTTTTCCATGTCCCAAATCTGATTGAAGAGGTGCAGTAGTAGAGTGTGGCCCTCTGGGGAAGTGTTTGACAAGTGAGGCACTTATCCTTTTCTGGCCTGGGGAGTTCGAGTGAATAGTATGAATCACAGAGTAGAGGTCGGTGGTGTGGAAGGAGGCAATCATCTTTTCACTGATGGTGGTCAACTTGCCTTGGTTGGGGACATAGGTCCTACTCTGCCTCTGGCAATCTCAGCCTGACAGACTGGATCAGTGATAGAAAGAAGTCCCATTGTATATGATGACCACATAGGTATCTTCAAGCTGGGAGTGGTGTCCAAAGGCAATAAAGGATTGAAGAAGAAAGGCATGTGCAGAACTTCTTCCAATATTGCTTGCATTCACTGCAAACAGTCCTGAGAAGAAGAGTGCTCAGTGTTTTATAATTTATCCATCAATTGGTGGAAGCCAGCCAAATTGCCTTCTTGAAGGTTTGTTTGGCCTGAAGGAGGCATTTGTTCATAATTTTATTAACGTAAGCAAAAAATAATTACATGACCTGTCTCTGCAGAGCACAATCAGGCATTTGGAAACAAATTTCTGGATCACATATTTACATTCAGTTCCATAGCATTTTGTGTGGAGAGAGAAGGGAGGAAAAATAAACAAATCACAGCAGAACATGAGTAAGAACATGACAAAGAAAGAACATGTCTAAATCTAAAGTGTGTATATATACACACTTTAGATTTAGACATGTTGATTACATGCTGAAAAGAGTTGGAGCACTTGTCCTGTAATTGTACAATCTATAGAGGGTTAAGTAATGGGTGTTGCTGGAAGTAGTTTCTTATCAAGTGTAAGAGATCAAAGAGTTTCTGATCAATTGTCAAATCTCTATAGATACATGGCCATATCTCTCCTTTATGCAGAATTATTGTCCTAATTTGGTGTCTTTATGCTCCTGTAATTAGGAACTTGAAGATGTAATACAGACTTCCATCTGCAACACTACAGATTGGGCACAGATTATTGTTACTGTGAGAGAACCTATGGAGGTAAGAATTAAATTTCCTGTGATTTGTTAGAACTGCATTGTTTGATGTTTGAACCTGATCTATCTGCAACTGAAGATTTCCTGATATTGGGGAAAAAGTGGTGTGTAACAGAGTCAAGGTTTTCATCCAAGTCTCTCTGCCAGCTCTGAACATCTTCCTTCCAGAGTAAATTCTTCAGCATTCTAATTGAGATTTGATTGTATTCTGTGGGGATATTATGGTCTCTGGCTGCCTCCTTAGCAAAAGATTCTGCTCTTGTTGCTGGGAATTGCTGAGTGAGAGTGGATCCAGTTAAGGAAGTATTTGTTGGTTGTGTTACCAGGGCTCTTTTGGATATTGGTAGTGATGGGGGTGAGTAGTTTTTCATTGTATCAGTATTAATGTGAAAGTATTATCAGAAGAAATAAGAATGTTTTTGTTAGTGAATGAGGTGTTACACCACTCCACTGCCTGATCTATCATGAGGAGCTCTGTGAGGACCCAGAAATAGTTTGAACCCAAAAAGGATGTAAAATTTAAAACTTTAGAACAAATAATGCAGAGAAAGATAGCTATTGCAAGGTGTCAGGTTTATTGATGTTAAGATGGTGATGCCAGACTTTGACAGTTTTGCTGTTAGTAAGAGAAAGGATGGTGTCAAATAAACCATACCAGGCAGACCTTTCTTGCGGCCCGAACGGGTCTCAAATTCTGCCTGGAGACAGGTGAGAGACCAGTAGAGAAGTGAGAAAAGTCTGACCAATGGGAAAATGAATCAAAAATGAAAAACTTATAAAAACTTCATTGTCCAAGGACAGGAGGGCGTTCCTCCTCTGCCAGTCACAACCTTCTCTTCGTGCCATCACCAAGATGTATCCAGCTTACTGTTATCCTGTGTGCCACCTCTATACTTTGGACTGTAACTCACTACTGCCCCGGGGCTGCCCCACAGGAAGCAAGAAAGAGTCTCCCAGGAACAAGTCATTGATGGAATGTTGAAATCTTGAACTTTGACAATTATATTATGTAAGCATAAACTACGAAAAATAAACAGTTTTTTTTTTGTGAAACACTTGTAATTTCTGCCTCCACCTTCAACACCCAAATATGTAAGTGTGAGGTTTGCTGATTGGGTGGAAAGTGTCACAACAATAAAGCAATCAGCACTGTTGTGTGGGAGTAGAAAAACTCACTGAGACAGGTGTTTCATCGCAGACAATTTATTAAATATAAAAATTGCGCTTACAACTACTCTTTTACTTCAGTGTAAGGCCTATCCAAAGAGTATAAAGTCCACTGAACCAGTCCACATATAAAGTTCAATCGATTCGACGATCGTTCTCTTCTTCTGGCGAAGGTGATGAGGAGAACATAGGCCCCAGGGCACACAGCACAACTTGAAGGGATGATTTTCGGCAGCAGGGTACACTTGGCAAAACTTGCAGGGACAGGATGGTAAAAACCTATTCCAAAACGTTGACCAAGTTTTTGTTGTTGAACCACAGCAAAATCCAGGAATGGAGCACTCTGAACTAAGAACATCACATCCCCTTTTTTTGGACCATTTTTATAAGTTTTTTTTGAGTCCCAGACCGAACTTTCTGATAGGTTGATGTCGACTTACCCCCTTTTTCGATTGGTTTTCACTCGTTACTAAACGTAACAAGATCAGAACCCAGACCAACTGACAATTCAATTCCTATTGAAGATGTTCGATTTTAGGACTTACATTCACCTATTGTTTTTAACCTGAGTAGTTCAACTTTCTAAGAAATTTCTACAGATGTCCTTTTATGGACATAAAATATTCATTTTTCGTTTTCCTTTTTTTTCTCGTTTGACAGTTTCTTTTACAACATTATAATAATTATTATTATTCTCTTCTATACAAAAAATAAAAAATATTTTCTCCCTTGGTTTTTTTTTGCACAAATTATAGGCCCACTTCCGAAGCTTCACATGAGACCCTAGGTCATCCCTGATGAAGAAGTAAAATTCCCCCCTCCAAGTGGTGTACTTACAGCTCCACCTGGAAAATAGTGCAATGAGATCCCAAGCAAAACTTTCTATGGTGCATTTCAAGCTCATTCTCATAATAGACAATAAAACTATCTCCAACTTCACAATTGCACTTAGATCCATCCATGAAAACTGATATCAGGTTGTCAGGAGTACCATTGCAGAAAGGAATACAGGTATACCTCGCCTTACGTCGGTAATTGGTTCCAGGAAAACGACGTAAGTCGAAAAACGACGTAAGTTGAATTTACTTGTCTCCGAATCTACTTGTCACTAGGCTAAACCATAAATTACCATTCCTGGTTCTGTATTTTATTTATTAATGCATTTTTAATAATATATGGTAATAAAAATCTATTTTAAGCTTACAAACAAATAAATTTTAGTTTTTAATATAGTACAGAAAAAAGTATTCTAAATTTACGAATGCATGTACTGTAAATACAGAACATACTCGTATATATTTTAATATGATTTTATGTGCTTTAAATGTTTTTCTAGTGATATTACGACTTCAATATTTGTGGCGGACAGAAGTAAAGTCGAATAAAATAACTTAAACTTGACTTTTATTTTTCCGTATACTTTTTTGACAAACGACGTATAATCGGGAACGACGTAACTCGAGGTATGCCTGTATTATTCCAAAGGTTTGTTGTGTTTCAAAATGGAATCTGTCTTTCAAGATCTTCTGGTAAGATGGTGCCAGAATGAAGTTTAATGCGGTTTCTCCATTTGATATGATGCCATGTCCTGTGGTAGAGCTGAATAATTTTGTCTATGGGAGGTCTTTGTGCAATAACTTGCAGGTTGTTGTTTGAGATAGTTCTGTAAGTTTTGGTGATCAAAATAAGAACTTTGTGCTGGCAGAGATCAGTCTGCATTTTGAATTGACTTTGTTTACAACCTTGTCCCAACTCCCACATCTGTAAGTGATGATGGGAAGAAATATCCTACCATAAATTGTGCCCATTGCCTCTAAGTTCAGGTTCCATTTTCTTTGTGCAAACAGGATGGAAAACATGTAGGATGGGCCCAATTCTATCAATGATGCACTGTATGTTGATGCCATAGTAGTCTGTGGTCCAAGATTATGCCAAGGTATTTAATCTTTCTTGATCTGGATATGATGGCCATTCATTCTTAGGGAAGGGACATGGGCATAAAGGTTTGTCTGGCCAGGCTTATTGAACACAATTGCTTTTGTCTTATTTGCATTAAAGTGCATTTTGTTGTCTGCTCCATTGGAATATATTGTTAAGAGTGTGATTTGCCCTTACTTCCAAATTTGCCTGTGAGCTGTCCCCAATTAGTACCAGGATGTTGTTGGCATAGGCCACCATGTGATTGTGCCCAACAATGAGAGGAAACATGAAAATGAGTTGTTTTTCTTTAATTAGTTGAATTGAACATACAGTAGATCCCCTTATAACACGATAGATAAGTTCTGTTTTATAAGAATTTAATGTTTTACAAGTCACTTAAATACATGAGCCAATCACAGCCCGGCACGTGTGCCGTTTACGGACTATGGCTGTTTGGAAGGTTTTCTTCCATAAAATTAATCAATTCTAGACTAATTTGACTCAACATTTCCAAAACACATATAATTTTTTGGAAATAATCCATATAAACTATGCTGTAAACAAAAAATTGTAGGATTACTTACTGAGTGTGCACCGTTTGATGACGCCATTGCTTAAGCTTGTTTTCGTCGTGGAGCGGCACATCAAACGGCGGGCACATTTCCTGATAAATTATTTTTCTGCAAAAAATTTGCTAAACTTTGGAGACATCATTAATATAAATATAATTTTTATGACCATTAAATAATAATTGGTTTTTAGTAGGTCCGCTGCTCATTTAAACTCAACGGTTTGTGCAANGGCGGGCACATTTCCTGATAAATTATTTTTCTGCAAAAAATTTGCTAAACTTTGGAGACATCATTAATATAAATATAATTTTTATGACCATTAAATAATAATTGGTTTTTAGTAGGTCCGCTGCTCATTTAAACTCAACGGTTTGTGCAATATTGGTCTAGATTTGACCAATCCTGTTGCGACATGAGTCAGCAATGACATTTTATCATATTATATGAGTCTCTTTTAGCGTGTTTATACAAACACAATCGCAATTTTTTCGCCGTGTTATATGAATCCGTATTATATGAACCCATGTTATAGGGGGTTCTACTGTAATTTCTTTATCAAAAATTTTTAATTATTTAGTACATATTTTTCTAATATGTACTAAATAATTAAAAATACTAAGTAATCTTTAAGCATCCTTTTAAATTACATTAAAATATAAAAATAACAAATGTCTTCTGCTAATGACTGGACTGAATTAATTAATGAATTGGTTAAATTTAAGTTGATTGTTAATTGTTGTTGTGTGTATCTGATTTTAACCTATTATTTAAAAATTTGATATATGCGACAATATGTATCTAAGAGTTGAGATTATCCTAAAAACTATATCTTACTTAAAAAAAATAATTAATACATTTTTTGTAAATTTTATTTCATAATTTTTCAGTACTCAAAAATTTTTATAAAATTATTTATTTTTCCAGGAAAGTATTATAGTTCTCAAAAATAAGGAATTAAATATAACTGAAAATGGAAGGAAAAGTGCTACATTATGTTCTAATGTATGTATGAGTAAAATATTTTATATATAATATTTTTGATTTTAGTTTAACATTGTAGGCACATATCTTTACTAAATCAAGTGAAAATAGGGATGTATTAAATGTCAATAAATACAATTTCCTAAAAATATTAAGTGATTAAACATTGATTACTTATATTAAAAAACTTGAATGTTTATGAATGCCCAATAGCAAACTAATGGTACAGTAAAACCTGTCTATGGCAACCACCCACAGTTCCTTCAAAAAGTGGTCTTTTAGACAGATGGTTGTCCAATACAGGTAATGCTGTAATATCATATTTTGCACACTTCTTAGACATTTCTAATAAGCAAAACTCTAGATGAACAAAAATAAGCAAATTTTTTAAATGATAGAGCTATATTGGTATTGTATTTTATTTTTATCGGATAATGATTTACAGAAGTCGTCATGATTTTATAAGACAGATTTAATAGCAATATTTTAAGGATTAATACAATGCTTGCATTTTCTCGATTATAATGCACACTTTCTTTTTTCCAACTTAATTAATTAATTAATTAATTCAACTTGGTTCTGTGAGAATACAGACAAGGGGTCAAACCCCTCTAATCATCAGATCTGAGGGACCCGCTCACTTTGTCAATGGATGTCTTAATATTAAAAGAATTCGAGTGGGAGGTCACGAGGGTTTGCAATGAGATATCAGCAATTATAGGAAGATACTGAGGAGTCCATTAATAAATTCAAAATTAAAATTTTAATAAAAATAAAACAAAGAAAAGAAATAAAATACAATAATGGGGAGATATATGACCTATGTTCCCTATTCACCGAGAGAGAGAGTGCACAACAAATTATATTACCTCGTTGGACATTCTTTACAGGATCTTCTGCTGGGAGAGAAAGGAGTAGAAAGTTCACTTCTGAGGACAATATAGCTGGGGAGTGACAGAGCTGGCACCTGACGCTTGGATGGGTGACACTATCAAAGGTTGGATGATCTGCCCCGAGCGAGTGAAAATTTGTCCTTTTATCTCGACTTTCCGTCAATCATCACCCGAGAACTTCATCGGCTGACGGGATGATCAGATGTGTCAATCAGCCAGATGGTGTGGAAAAATCGAGATAAGGAGTAGAGAAAGGAAACTGAATTTCCCTTTTTTCCATAAAAGTAGAATTAGTCAGCGTTTTTCAGGATGTTGCCTTACTTTTTTGTAGCTTTTATTATATTCAATAAAAATATATTTTAAAAATCAAAAGAAAATTTTAGGTTATTTTCTAATTATTTAGTTGGGGATTTAAAATTTGAAACAGATTTAGTTAGGAAATAATTGGATGTGTCCAGCTCTTCACATCTCTTTTCGTTTGCTCCTCAGTTATGTGTAGTATGTCATCAATATACAAGCACATCGTATCTCTCCATCACTTTGGTTTTGGTTTTCATTAGTTTAATCTTATTTTAACTTTAAAAATACTGTATTTTTTTAATATTTAATATTTTATTAAGTACAATAAGAAAAATTATTAATTAATAATAAAACGATGTTATTATTTTTTCTCATAATACAGTACATTCTGCGATTGTCCAATGAAAATCGCAGAATCGGAAAAGGAAGGTTGCCTGTAAAACTGATTTTTGCATTAATGTGTTTATTGTTTTTTGAATATTTTGCATGTGAAAATTACTTGGATATTATTTTTCTAAAAATATTGTGGAAATAAGGTAGGTTGATACAGAAACTATTGCACATGTACTGTATATGGGCATCAAAAAATAAATTAATTAATTAAATAAATTTCATCAAATGATGAGATCAGCCAATTTAATTGTATTGTGTACAATATTTTTTACCCCTAAGGAAAATACTGTAGGTCTACGCTAAAATAAATTTCGTATTTCCACAGTTAAACTTTGCTGCTAATTGCCGTTGTGATAAACATTTTCACTTTCTCTGATAACAAGATCTAACCATAGCACTTTGCATTTCTTTCATTTTTCGGACAATTTCAAACAAACTGAAATGAATTTCCTTTGTTGCTAGACTAATTCATTAACACCTGCACCTAATTTCAAGGGGGAAGTGCCTGAGGTGGGTTCGAACAAGAGTTTATACTACCAGATATATTCATGGAAGTGTTCGCTTATTGCAGTTGTTGTATGTTGTTTCAGACCAAAAATCAATGCCCTAAGTCACATTACACAGGCGGTCGTTTAATATGGGTAACTTATACCAAGACTATGTATAAACTATTCTGTGCCAGAAAATTTTGCCCATTTTAACAGGTGCTCATCAAATGCAGGTGGAAGTAGTTTTCACTATATTTAATTGCTAGTATAATGTAAGATGTAATTTATGTATAAAAAATTGATTTTAATGTTTTTATTAATTTCAGAATATCAACAAGGAAAAGTTTTTACAAGCAAAATGCATGAATGGCAACCTTTTTGGATTTTCATTACAAGAGCCAAGATTGAATTTTCAAAATAGATATTATGAAAATAACAGAAATGCTATAGAAAAAATTAGCAAAGAATTAAAAAGGTCTAAAGAACTATATAAAAATGAATTAAATTCAAAACATCAAAAGTATTTATCAATGTTTCAAGGATTAGCTAACAAGTTTCAAGATGTAATTTATATTCCACCTTGATATATATTTTATTTAATTACAATAAAATCTTTTAAATTTTGGTAAAATTTATTATTAAACATCAGAGTTGATACTATTAATTGAATAAATTGACGAAGTTGAAGAATCAGAATTGATAAGATATAAACATGATAAGGCAAGGTCTATATAAATAGGTCTTGACACAAATGTTACCTTACTTATGAAGCTGCCATTTTGGGGTCTTTTGAATATTGCAGGTTTTAAACAAACTGTACAAGCAGTTAGTTTTATATGACATAAACTAAACATACATAAAACCAGTGAGATTCCTGTCTAATAATAATTTTGGATGATTGTGCAAACATAATTTTATGTAACTTGATCAAAATAGTTTAAAGTAAAGAGCATACTTATTATTTGCTGTCTTGATTAAAACGAATCAAATTAACAGTTGCATTAGTTGTATTGCTTATGTATGCATTTCTGAAAGTGATGCAATAATTACAAACACTACAACACCTTTGCTGATAGAACTTTTTATTAAGAAATGTTTTCAGCTTACCCCCATAGGCCATCATCAGTTTTTAAATCTGTTTTTAGAAAATGTTCCACAAATAGAACATTCCATTTAAATTTTAACTTTTGAAGTATTCTAAATATAAATTTAAAGTTAAATGAATTAAATAAATAAATTATGAACAATATAAAGTTAACAAAATACAAACAAAAATGAAATTAAGAAAAATATAAAAATATAACAAAAGTCATATACGATAATAGGGAGACACATAATTTAGAGGTTTTTTCAATGATGTATTTCCAAGCTGAAGGAAATGTGTTTGCATCCCTTGCATTTAGGCACTGCTATTTGATCTTGCTCTTGTATATATCTAATTTTTCCATATTTAGAGCAATGATTGGAATAAGTACTTTTTTAATAATGTTTACTTCATCCCACTTTATAACAGATCCTTCCACCTGTGACATCACTGCTAAAATTGTATTACTGTGGCCTTTTTCTACATTGTTCTTGTGTACATTGAGTTGTTCCATGAGGTTTCTTTTTGTGACTCCAACATAATCTTTTTGGAACCCTAACTGTTGATTTTTATAGGGTATTTTGTATACTCCAGACTGTTCTTTTTTCTTTAGTTTGTCTTTATTATTCCTCAGTAAGTTGTAAATATTAGGTGCTCTTTTGTAAACTATCCTTGAGGTTTTGTAAGTTGCCAGCTCATTTATAGTGCCTCCCAACCATTTGTTGTATGTAAATTTATTGATTATATTGATGTTTTTTGGAGACTTATCTTTGTTTTCTTCATAAGTCCTGAAGAGTCCTTCTGTAATGGATACTATATCATAAAGTTGTTGCAATTTCTTTAATTCTATTAATTTCTTTTACGTGATCTTGTATATTGGAACAATACAAAAAGGCTTTTCTAACCAGTGCTCTATATGCAGAAAGTTTATACTTGTAAGGGTCATTAGACCATGACGGGATGTACAGAGGAGCATACGTGGTGTGTTAAAAAAATATCGGACCTTTGGTCAGCAAAAATAAATTTATTGACTTTGAGGTACAAAACCCTAATCCCCTTCGAAGTAGTCTCCTTGGTAATGTATACACTTCTCCCAGCGTTCCTGCCATTGCTGGAAACACTGCTGGAACGTATCTTTTGGAATGGCCATCAGCCGGTCTGTCGGATTCCGCATGATGTCTTCTCTCGACTAAATTCGGGTTCCTTTTAGCGGTATTTTCAGCTTGGTAAATAGCCGAAGGTCACACGGAGCCATGTGGGGAGAGTACGGAGCGTGACGAACCACAGGAGTATTGTGTTTGGCGACGAAAGCCCGAATCAGATGCTCAGAATGCGTTATCACGATGGAGCTGCCAAGTTTTGATTGACCACAGATCTGGTCGTTTGTGTCGCACTGTATCGGAAAGATGATGAAGGACCTCCTGGTAGTACTCCTTTGCGATGGTTTGGCCTTGTGGTGCGTACTCACGACACACCACCCCACGAGAGTCGAAAAAACTGTCANTATCCTTGAGGTTTTGTAAGTTGCCAGCTCATTTATAGTGCCTCCCAACCATTTGTTGTATGTAAATTTATTGATTATATTGATGTTTTTTGGAGACTTATCTTTGTTTTCTCATAACTCCTGATGAGCTCATCTATAGTGGATATTTTATATCATGCACTTTCTTTTAAGTGATCTTGTATATTGGAACAATACAAAAAGGCTTTTCTAACCAGTGCTCTATATGCAGAAAGTTTATACTTGTAAGGGTCAGACCATAATGGGATGTATGGAGGAGCATAAGTTGGTTTGATATACACACAAGTATAAATACCTCCATTCTTAAGCAACATTTTGTGAGCTTACTGTAAACTCAAGAAAGATATCTTCAGATATTTCACAGAATAAATTTTACTGTATAAAGATATGTGGATGGTCTATTCATAATTTGGAGAAATAACCAAAGGGTTCAAGAGTTTTTGAGTGTGGTTAACAACAATAGACATGATGTGAACCTAAAATTAGAACAACAGAGCAGTAATTGTCTGCACTTCCTAGACATTGACATCCAGTTTAAGATGACAATAAATTATTTATTATTAACCTTGTATTTTTCATAATTTATTTATTTAATTCGTTTAACTTTAAATTTTTATACACCAAAAGTTATCATTTAAATTGAATGTTCTGTTTGTAGAACATTTTCTAAAAATGGATTTAAAAACCTGATGGCCTATGGGAGTAAGCTGAAAACATTTGTTCATAAAAAAAAAATCTCTCAGCAAATGCATAGATATTGTTATAAGTTTGTAATTTATCTCTGCTGAATACTTCCAGACTAGTGCAATAATAAAGAAAAGTGAAAGGAACAATATCTCTGCAAGATATAGCATCCAAAATCAGCCTACAGCCTACTTTCAGGTGCTATACAGAGTCACACTGAATGCTCCACTTAGCCTATTGCAGCGGTCCCCAACCTTTTTATCGCCATGGACCAGTCAACATTTGATAATTTTACCACGGCCGCTGAGGGGGAATGTTGATTGTTTATATTTTAGATTGTTTTGATTTAATAATTTTAATTTAATTGTATTTAAACATGCCTTTAAAATAAAATACAGTTACACCAAAAAATGAATATAAAGCAATTTAATATTTTAACTCGCTAAAATGCTAAATCAATGAGAACCCTGAGCTTGTTTCTTTGCAACAAGACAGTTCCATCTGGGAGTAATAGGAGACAATGACACCCGAAGTGTGTTGCTTATGTCCAGTTTATTCCGTTGTTTTGTTTTGGTTGCTGTCACTGCAGAAAACCCCACTTCACATCGATAGGATATTGAAAATGGCAATAGGAATTTAAGTGCTGTGATGACAATCTCGGTATTCTGCCATGACTAATCCAGAACACCGGCAGAGTTGTTGTTTCAAACATAGTTTTAAGGCTGCCGTCATTTGCAATCTCCAGCAGTTGATCTTCTTGCACAGACATGCTAGATTTGCCTTGTTTGTTGACAAATGGGTCACGGATCCATTCCTTACCAGTTTGTGGGCCTTTTGTGGTTGGGAAGTAGTGCTCAAACTCTTTTAAAAGCAAAGACAGGTGATTGTGCACCAACTGGGAGAATGAATGCTCAGGCTTAGTCTCACTTAAATCCCCACTAATGTCTGAAACATGTCCAAAATGCCTCTGTTCATGCACCGTCCCCACAACTCCAGTTTGGTTTTAAATGCAGCTGCTTTGTCTGCCAACTTGAAAACAGTTGTCATTTTTCCCTGAAGGGACAGATTGAGTTTATTGAGCAGGCTGAATACATCACACAGGTAAGCCAGTTTTGCAACCCATACCTTGTCACTGAAATGAGCTGCCAGCGGTGACTTCTTTTCTGAGAGAAATCTTTGCAATGGCTCTCGTAATTCAAACACTGCAATTTTCCTCTGGATAATCTGTGTATTTCTGTGTATAAGAGAAGGCATCTGTGCTCTGCATCCATCTCCTCATGAAGCTGCTCAAACAGGCATGAGTTAAGGGCGTGTGCTTTGATGTGGTTAATAACTTTAACGACATTAATCAATACGCTGTTAAATTCCTGTGACATTTTTTGGCTTGCCAGCATTTCTCTGTGAATGATACAATGTGTAGATTCACTCTCAGGTGCAACTTCCTTAATCCAAGCAGTTAAACCAGACAGTCATCTAGTCGTGGCAGCAGCTCTTTCTGTGAATATGCTGACACAAAAGGACCATTTTAGTTGTCCTGATATATAACCATCCAGTGACTTGAACAGGTCTGCTCCTGTGGTGTTGGTTAGCAAAGATAATGCACATAACAAATCCTCATGTACATACTCCTGATATAGATATCGCACATAAAAAAGTAGTATTGCCTTGTTGTCGATATCTAGATTTGTCAACCTGGAGTGCATACCACAGTGATGTATTAATCCTCTCCAACAATTGTGTCTCAATGTCTTCAGCTATTTCCTCAATGCGCCTAGTCACAGTGCTAGCTAACAAAGACACAGGTGCTATCTTTTCCACAGCATCCTCTCCAAGAAGTTCACAGCAAATGTCTTTAGTGGAGGGCAATATCAATTCTTCACCAATAGTCAATGGCTTTTTAGTCTTAGCNCGTGCTGTTCGCACAGGTAACTCGCTTGAGAAGAACCCGGCTATTACACGCGATGATAAAACTGACATAACTACGCGGTAATTCACGAACACCAACAAACAAAATGGAAGTTTTGGTTAGAAATAAATACTTTTTCTTGCCATATATCTAATAATAGACAGATGTCATTGTCTCTCCAGTTGTCTTTTTTATTTCTCTGTTGATAGCCCAACATGTGTTCCAAAGAAAAGTAAGTTAATAGTAAGTTTATATATTATAAAATTAAGTTATCTAATTTTTACATCACTGTTATCACTGTAGAAAACAAAATTACAATACTTTTATCAAGTTTTTGAATCAGATTATTATAAAACGATAAAAATCTTTTTGTAATTATCCATTTATAAGTTATATGATATGTGTTTTTATTGAGTTTTATTAAAAATTAATTTGCAGATAGTGAGTAAATAATTTATTAATGAAAATCTGGGAACAATGAATAGTCATTGGGAAGACCAACTGTCATTAAGCAACAACAATGTCACCTGGGTCTTGTGTTAGATTTTTAAAATTTATATATAATTTTGATATTCATTTTAAAAAATGTGAAAATGAAACATAAAGCTAAATAATTTTAAATCAGTTGCAAAAACTAAGTAGGGGAGGAATGGGATACTTGGGAAAAGTATGTCAAAAACATAAAGAAAAACTCTTGAATTTTTTTTAGCTTGTTAGTTTGAACCATCTGTATCTTCTGAAAAGTATTGGAAGTTTCAATACTAACATTTGGTAGAAAAATTATAAGTTTTATATGCTGTGAGACAGTAAATGGGAGACGGGACAGTTCATAAAAGGATAACAAATTCACATAAAATTTGTATTAAAATACAGTAAAACCAGTCTGTGGTGATCACCCATGGTTCCTTCAAAAAGTGGTCTT